AAATGGTATCAATTCATGAAACTTTTGACTGTTGGTCTGAGTCGTGTAGGTGGCTGTAGAGTACCTGGTTGGGGCTCGTGCAACAGAAACCAGTGGTTGGAAACTCTAGGTGATGTGGCTCAGAATCTATCCCAGTGGGGCAGATGTATCCATACATTAACTTGATTTTAATCGTCATGGCAAATTTCAGTATCCCGTCATTTCTCCTTGCTCTTTTTTGGTGACTTTCGAAGGCTTTTACCTTTATTTTTTCAGCTTTCATTATAGTCCATGCATGTTCGACTTTGTGATATGAGGTTTGCCAGCTGAAACTATTACATAGTAATGCCGGGGTCTATGTTGGTTTTATCTGTTTATCCTTGATGGCAATGTCTACTCACTTCCACAGTCAGTGCAATAAAAAGTCAGAGCTGAGGGTTTTAGTCGACTAAGTAAGACTTGAAGTAGTTGCTGTGACAGAAGCATGATTTTCTCTTCTCTCTAAGTATTCCTTTTTCAGAGATGACGGAGTATTAAGTCGTAAGAGTGGAGTTCTACTGTAAACCCACATGGACCTAAATATAAGGTCAAATCATGCGGAAGCGCATAGAAACAGCACATGTGAATTAATAAGCGGCGATGTTAAGTCAATTGATGATTTAGTCAAAATTGTTTTAATTTATCCCAGTCCGTGTTGCCTAGCAAATGACTTCGTAATGAGCCTTCATTAGCCAGTACTATTTACGTAGTGACATTAAGTTTTGTACGTACGCTTTAGATTACAATTCCGTTCCCCTTACACTGAATATATGGTGTGCGGAAATACCTGCTATCAAGGAGTGTAATTACACCAAACTGAACTGAAGATAGGGACACACCTATAGAGAAGGCCTAGGAAAAACTTGGGGCTACGTTAGATGTAACTTAATCGTTTATACCATAGTCAACTCCACATATTCTCAGTCACCACTCCTTGAGTTGTCAGGAGTATCTTGAAACTTGTAAGGATCAGGAAACGACAACGTAACTTGTTTGCAGAAAAAGGTAGTAAGACCTCAAAGAATGTGGATTGCAAGGTTGGGAATATTTTAAAATCAAGTACTACGAGGTCCAAATAAACATACGAAAAGTAACTTGTGATTGACTGTCAGGTATCTCCAAAATGGTTGTCCTCTTACATGAAAAGGAGAACTAAACGTAAAGGTGGAGTCTCATCTCATTAAAAATCTAAGGATTCAGAGGAGCTAGTTGAGTCCAATCCGTTCAAAGTTAAGTATCTCTACGACTACTTCGATACAGTTTTCTTAGTAGGTGGGGATATTACTACTGTGACCACCATTAATTAATACGTCCCACTGATAGATTCAGAGAGGCAGTCTCTCGGTTACTGAGAAAACTCAAGCCTGAGAAAAACCTCTGGTACTCATGGCTTGCACCCAAGGCTATCATCTTCCTTTACACATTATTACGGGGTCCTTGTTGAACTGTTCAACATGTCCTTATGTCAGGGTCGGCTTTTGACAGACCAGAAAGCTACCATAATCAGCCCATCCTTCAAGGCGAGTCATGGGCAACTGGTATCGAATTACCTTCCCGTTAGCCCAAATGGCAGTTCGAGTAGGTTACCAGGGACAGTGCTCAGCCATATAGAAAGCTACATGGATTTCCAGCTAGTCGTTCTTTCTTGACTAGCTTCGATATAGCAAGGGGAAGATGTGTACCAAATCGTGAAAAGCTGCTCGTACACCCTGTTCATTTACTTCAAGCATCCGCATATTGGGTTTGACACTATGATACAGACTTGTATTAAAATATGTCTATGTGATAGGAGACAAAATGAGAGTGAACTGAAGACTATTTAAGTAGCAGCGTGTGATGAATAGGGTTTCCCAAGAAAGTCTTGAGTTGTCCTCTTATTCTGCTTTATGTCAACGAACTGACTGGTATGATCAAGTCCCCCAATGGTATTAGTTGCAGTTGATATGAAAATACAGGTCATCCATAACGACGTGGACAGAAGTCTTCTACAAGCGAACTAACATGAATTATCCAAGCGGTTTAAGCGTTGGTGTTTAGAAATTAACTCTAGTTAATGTGTGGTTATACATATTAGATATAACAGCTGTAACCAGTATTTAGTAGATGGACCACCAGTACATCCAAGAATAAGACTTCGAAGTTACAGGCATTCATAAATCGAAGAAGTATGTACACTGCATTGAAGCCACACCAAAAGGGTGACCAGCACTTTTCTCTTCGTAGAACATCTAACTACTTTGATGAAGACGTTAAGAATTCGTATCCCCATTTCAGATATCGTATTAATGTGACTAGTCCATACTTAGCGAGAGATGCCAAGGTATTCGAGCCCATTCAAAGACGTGGTACTAGTCTGGTGGTTGGTCTGTATAATTAGTTCTGCGAGGACTCAGATCAAGCAACATTTGCGTAAAGACCCCAAGACTTGCTGCTCAGAACGCGTAAACGGAATGGAAGCAGCGGTTACATCTAACAAAAGGTGGAAGCTGTTTCAGCTCATCCGGACCACTGCTAAAAAGAAAATTAGTGTTAGCAAGACAGTTTCTCAGGTAGACAGTATACTAATCACCAACCTTAGCAAACACTCGGGACGCTGAACAGAATACTTTGAAAAGCAACTCAGGCGCCCCACTACTTCTGAAAATTCAGCCTCATTCTGTTGGTCTGCGTTTTCAGTTAACACTACCCGGTGAAGAAGTAGAGTCCTCGAAGTATTTCCAAGCACTATAAAACAGCTGGCCCAAAGAAATTACATCCGGTTGATAAAAAGGATGACAGTGAGGTTATAGCGATATAGGCTGCCTAGTTGGGACCCTCGAATAATAATAAGGGATAATAATAAGGGATCGATAGCTGCATACTCCTAGTGACGCAACGAAATATACCGACTTATTCATGAATAAAAAGAACGAGACATATTAGCGGAGAAATATTTCAATTCGTTGAGAAATACACTAGTGATGCGAATAGCTTGATAGCCAGACAGAAACTTAACGCTGCCATCGATAAAACATATTATGCTTAACGATTTCACAGACTTAACACAGCTTACTATGCAGGTAGGATTAGTTTAATAGAAACCAACAAGCCTGTATGTTCTTTCAAATCCTCACAGCATATGAATGACAATGTTACATCCCACTCCATCTACCAATTCAAATTTACGTATAGTGATTCATACACAGGGAGGAATCACAGATTCATGCAAGTAGGGGTCTTGGAACATTTTTCAAAATGGCTTCAGAAGCAAACTGGATCACCTGAACGCATGAACGTTGGTAGCAGACATCTAAGTTCTTCAATCGCGAAACATATCGTTAAGACAGGTCACAGGATTAACGTGGCTACTTTCTGTAGACCTGTCTACAAAACGTGTTGAGAACGGATCCTTAAATTTAAAGTGGCCTTATTATTATTTATTTTATTTGTCCCTTGGGTTCCTAGTGGAACATAGGGCTTCAGTAGCACGCCGCCACTTCACTCTGTTCTCTGCAGTCTTCTCAACCTGGCTCCACAACTACCCAGAAGCTTTCATTTCTTCCAAACACGATCTCCTCCATGTCACCCTCGCCTCGGACGCCCAACTCATTGTTTCCCCTTTGGGTTCCACTTGAGGGCTTGGCCTTGCGCGTGACGTCCCCGAACGGTGTTCCCAGCGTATGCCCAATCCATCTCAACTTCCTTCTGCATATTTGTTGGGCGATAGCTTCTTGGTTGGTTCGCTACCGGCCACAGTGAGTTCCTTCTTGCTGATTCTTATTGTTCTGGCCATCTGATCTGATCTTCAGTATCGAGTGAGCGTAGGCGTCAGCTGTTCATGTATGTTTGTAGTTTGTTGGAAATGCTTCTAGTAACACGCCAACCCTCTCAACCATCACATAGAAGCACTGAACTGACGTTAGTGTTGGAAATCCGGATCTTGTTCACGCTCCCTGCTGAGCGGAGTGGAGTGCAGTAGATCTCCACACTGATTTCAGACTAATGAAGGAAGGCCTGTCTTGCTGTCTTTCCGGTCCTTGCTTTGATGTCCTTATCTGTGCGGCTGCCGCCGCCGCCGCCTGTAGTTGAAATGATGCTTCCTAGGTAGGTGAAAGAGACGACTTCCTTCAGATTTCTCCCTTTGATGGTGGTTGGTACTTGTTATTGTTGTTATTGGTGGTAGTGGTGGTGGTGGTGATTGGGTAACTCCATCACCTCTGTCTTCTCTATGTTCACCTGAAGGAAGTCCCGTCTTCGCTGCCTTACCTCGCCTCTTCTACCAACTTGTTAGTTTTCACCTGTAGATCTTCGAGTTTGTGCGACAAGACACTAGACATAAATCATCATCGGCGAAATCCAGATCTTCTAGGGTCTTTTCATCGGTCCAGCCAGCGTATGCCTGTATTCTCGCTCCTCACAGTTTGTTGCATGATCCAGTCCAGTCGACCACAATCAGGGAGATGCTCGGTGACAGTAGGCATCAACCTTGTCTTACTCCTGTCTTCACTTCACTTCAAAGGCGTCACTGAGCTTTCCAGTGTGAATCACTTAGCAGGTGGCGTCGTCAAATGGTTGTTCAATGAGGTTGAAGACGGTCTGGATAAACCTAATGTTTTCTCGCTATCTCACCGAAAAGAAACCCAATATTAGCAGTTCATATCCTCAACTGATGTTTTACCTGTTTCTCCCATCAAAGAACGATTATCCTTGAGACCACCACCAAAAAATGTAAAAACGATGGTCGAATCAACTTAGCACTGGGACTCATTACCAATGCGAGTGATAATAGTTTTTTTCAATGAATGCATCCAAGACAAGACCACATCATCATACGTTGGTCTACCACAAAGATTAAAACAGGCCAAAGCAGATCACTGTCCGTACTACAAAAGTCAACGACAAGAGGTTCTAGGGACTCCCTGACACGTACTAGTGTGACTCAAGTATAATTCATAAAAGGAGGCGAAACCCGCCAGTATACGTGCAAATGAATTGAGACATACGTGACAGTTGGGAGACCGTAAATCCCACAAACGTATTGTGTTGTCCATAGCGCCAGACAAGAATGTGTCATCAATGGGCGACATACATAAAGAAACGACCCTGAAACTGGAAATCTAACTTTGAGACACCTACCTTTTCGTATGACTTTGAAAATACCTGATATACTTATTATCGTGCAATGATAAATAGCGTATAGTGTCTTGAAAGCATGCAAGGTGAAGCTGAATTTCATATTTACCATCAATTTTAGTAGAGGCGTGGATAGCAGTAGTAGGACTATGTGTAAACTGTATTAGGTTTACTCCATACTTCTTGCTGTTTAACGTACGTTTAGGCCTGCTGAAAAGCATATTTATATGATGTGAAGTTTACGTTCCACTTGAACAGTCGTAAGTCACCATTTGGTCATCATCACTACTCGAAATAAGTGTATCTCCATTGTTGGAGTAGCTAAGAGAGTTGATGCGGTCAGAATTTTCTTTGAAATATTTGACCGGCTTAAATGTACGAATAGTAGAGTCAGTCAGCCTCATTTTCGTCTGCCCTGACCTTCTCAGTTAAGTGACGCGGCATCAGACTTGGCCTTTCAATATGCAATATCTTTTCACGAGCTTGTGTAAACCAGAGATTTCTTCGCTCTCTCTTCTTGGTCTTGCAGAACGGCTCCGGATATTTAGCGGATTCCGATGCAGTAGGTCCAGCCACTCGTCTGCTATAGCTGTGATTTACAGAACAGGAAGTTAAGTGTTGGTTTGTTTGCCTTGGACTGTAGTGCAGTTGGCTTCTTCAGATGTCGAGTTGCCAGACAGTTGTTTGGACTGATCGCTAGAGAGGGTTGGGGATGGTGAAGGGAAAACCTAGAAAGTGAGTAAAGGAAAAGAGGAAAAGTAAACTAATGGAGTAATCTACTTACACCCAAGTAATGTGAGTAGGAGTGCAAAGGAATGAAGAACTTAGGTAAGTGAGGCTAACTTGTGGCAAGTGGAAGGGGTGAAAAGGGCTTAAGTGGTTACAATGGAAAGAAAACTCGTTTGGGTGCCTTGACATCACTTCGTGTTCCGGCTATGCGTAAGCAGACCGTGAGTCTCTACATGACTGTCTAGCCTCTTCTTGAAGCTTTCAACAGTTGGGGAGGAAACCACCTCCGCTGGCAGTGCGTTCCAGTACCCACAGACTCGGAGGTAGAACTGTGAACGCACATGCGCTTTTGACCTCTGGTGTGCTACTCTATTGGGGTTTCCACGAGGACTCCTCTGTTTGGGTGACTTGGGTTACTCATTATTTTGTAAGCCATTATTAAGTCGCCACGTATCCTTCGATAGCTAAGGGAGTATAGGCCCAGGTCTTTGAGTCCGTCCTCACATGGTTTTCGCTGCATACCAACAACCCTTTTTGTGGCTCGCCTCTGGACTCTCTCCAGTAAGTTCGCGCCTCTTTTCAGCTGTGGTGGAGCGAAGACGTTATGGACCTCTAAGTGGGGCCGTATGTAAGTCTTGTAGAGCTTCAGAAAGAGTTCTGGGTGAGGGCACCCAGTTGTCTACGCACAAAGTGTAGTACCCCATATGCTTTTGAGACATCACCTGGGTAATTGGAACTGGTGTCCAGTTTCTCCGTCACCGTTAGACCCAGGTCTTTTTCTACTGTGGTATGGGATAGACGTGAACCACAGAGATAGTAGGATGTTTTCTGGGGATCAGGAGTGCGGAAAAACATGGACCGGCACTTATCCAGATTAAATGCCAGTTCGTTATTAGTTCCCCATTCCTCTAGTGTTCTGAGGTCCTTCTGTAATGCCATAGATTCCGCCTCGCAAGTTATTGCCCTCCATAACTTGACATCATCAGCGTATAGGAGAATCGGGGAGCTGATATGTTGCGGCAAGTCATTTACGAACAGTAGGAACAACAGTGGACCCAAGATTGCCCTTGTGAGACACCGGATGAGGATGTTCTCCAAGTTGAGTAGACCCTGTTGACTTTCGTGCAGAGCTCCCTGTTGTCTAAGTAGTTCTGCAGCCACGATAGCACCTGGCTGCGAATACCTAACCCAGCTGTCTTATGTATTAGGATATGGTGTGAGACGGTGTCAAAGGCTTTGGCGAAGTCCAGAAAAATTACGTGGACAGGGACCTTGAGATCCCAGCATGCTGTCCAGTGATCATGGGCCGTCAGGAGATTGGAGGCACAGGACCTACCATTCCGGAAGCCATGTTGAGCTTCACTGAGTTCGTTTGTGTCCAGATAGTCCCTGATACGGTCGTCCATCACACTTTCCATTACTTTTGATATTACTGGTAGAAGTGCTATGGGTCTATAACAGTTGGGATTCTGTCTGTCTCCTCCTTTGAAGATGGGAGAAAGGATAGCCCGTTTCCACCCTCGTGGGAGCTTCCGCTCATCCAAGGAGTGTTGAAAGAGGTTGCAGAGTGGGCCTTAGGGTACTTGCACATTCTTTCAACACAAATGGGTGAATGTCGTCGCACCCTAGGGATTTTCCCGCGCTTAACTTTAAAAGCTTGTGGAGAACAACAGCGCGGGTTATCTGTATTTCGTGTAACTCAGTAGCATCGGGTAACGTTGGGGCTGTTCGTGCAATTGGTATGCGCACTTTCTTGATGGAATGTTAAGCTGTGTCAAATGTGGTGCTCAGCATTTCAGCAATCTCCTGTCCAGAGAGGTTTTCTCCGTTCGGACCTTTTATGACACATGCTCTTCGGCTTGTCGATTTTCTTTTTGCCATGAATCGGTAAAGGTTTTTAGGGTTTACCTGAAGCCTTTCGGCGAGGTTAGACAGGAACGACCTCCTATCTCCCCGCACCCTTATGTTGCTTCGTTTCTGCAGAGTCATGTATGCGTCATGGTCGTCCTGTTCTCTGGAGAGTCTCCATGTGTGCCATGCCCTTCTCTTGGCTTTTAGAGGACACTCAGTGCCCCGTTTTATCCATGACGTTCGCTTCCTGGTTGTTGTTACCGCGAGAGGGACGTTTTGTGAGACGGCCGCCTTAATGATATCTTTTACTAGTTCCCAGTGCTGGTCGATCGACAAGGAACACCAATCCACTGGCCACGAAGCTGTTGAAAGGCTCTTGTTCATACCTTCGTAATTTGCCTTGTTGTAACATAGGTAAGGGCGAGGTCCCTCCCATGATAGCTCTTCACTAAATACCAGGTCGAACGTTACCGTAGCGTGATCGCTACTTCCAAGAGGGGTTTGTACCTGAACGTTTTCAACCAGAAAGGGATCAGTAGTCAGTAGGTAATCCAGTTAAGATGGTTTACCATCTGACCCCCAGCGGGTGTTTTCGCTGATTTTTTCCTGCAGTCCAGCCATTTGGATGGCGTTTAGCAGGTTACAGTCGAACTTCCGGCTCGGGGTAGTGCCACCTTGCTCTAGGCTGAGGGTTGGAGCGTTGAAGTCGCCAGCTATTAAAATCTGGTCGTACCTTATAGTTGACACTGTGGATATTGCTTGGAGTAGTTTTTGGTTGTGTTCCAGGTTGCTATTAGGGGACCTATAGATTCCTCCAACTAGGAATTTGGTGTTTGACCGTGAAGTGGCACCAGATAGAGTCTGGGAGCTCTGTCAGTGGTTTGTTCACTTCTGAACCACTTGTTCACGTATATTGCAACCCCCCTCCTGTCTCTGCTTGACAGAATCATATCATCTATGTTAACTTCGGTGTCAATTATGTCTGGTGACAACCACGTTTTGTCAGGATCATGAGTTTCGGGGCGAGGTCGAGACAGAGGGATCGGAGCTCTGGCATTTTACTTCGGAGTCCTTTCACGTTGGTGTAGAGACACTTGGATGTGTTTCTCGTAACGTGAGATGTCTCTGAGTTAACTAGTGGCACTGGTTTGGATGTGGGGGTTTCTACTGACTGGCCAGTTCCAGTGGAACTGGCCCAGTTAAGTTTTTTCCCTCGTCGACTGGTGCATTCGGTGTTGAGTGGAGGTTTCTGGTCTGACTCTCAACATTTCGGTTTAGGGTTACGGTGGCCTGAGCACAGGGCGTAACTGCTGTCTGTTGTTGTCGCAGTGTTCTCGGTCTGCTTTCACAGCAGCGAACGTTACCGCTTATGGTGCTCTTAACTTTGTACCACGTCTCCAGCACTCTGGTGAGTACTTCTGGGGATACGAAGTTGCCAGCCATTAGTCTAGGTGAGGTCATGGTTATCAGATGCAGGGGGCGTGGTAGTCTGCAGCTGCAACCCCGCTCAGCTCCATCCGAGCCGATAACCACTCCTATTGTTTGACGTCGTGTGTGTACTTCTCACCTGGGGTACCGGTCACCATTTCAGGTATTCCATGTACGACCATGGTTATGGGTTTTAGTGGACCAGCTGCTTCTCGAGATGTCTTTCTTGACACCCATGATCGGTCAGGTCTGGCTCTAATGTTGGACGATCTGTTGATGACCAGGGCGTGTGACAGTAAGGGGAACTTTTCAGCGTCTCTAGTTGGGCCTAGAGTCACTCTCATCGGCGGAGGCTTCCCTGAGGGTGAGTGGGTGCCTTTGTTTAGTCGACACAGTTTTGCCTGGAGAACGCCCAGACCTAGCATGGAATAGAGGGAGTCCCACTGATGCCTGTCAAACTTGTCCTTATGTTCCAGAAGGCTATCATCACAGACAGGAACGCTGAACAGAATGACACACCTGGATCAGTTAGTGATGCCAATATTATTCGATCCCGTAGGTGCTTTTTCACGGGTGCCTCGAGTTTTTTTCCACCCTGACCCATTCTCTATGTTGTCCACTGGTTGCTGTTTCTGGTATGGCTCCATGGCTTGAGGTGGATGCGGTTGTCGTTGGTGTAGGCAGCGTTTTGTTTGGCTTAGAACCTCTCAGGTTTTTGACCTTCAGTAGGCCATTGCCAAAATCATCTGGAGAGTGAATATCCTCTGTGCCTGTGGTTTGGACGGGTACCTACCTTTCGATTACTGGGGATTAATCGGTTACTCTGAGTAAGCTTGAAGCTAGGTGCGGTCTCAGACGGCACTGTGGGCAAATGTACCAAAACCACGTGCATGGATGACGCGTCATAAATCTGTAGTACTTATGTGGCACTTCTTTGTCGCATCGGCAGTGCTCCCATCTGTTGCACTCAAAGGCAGCATCACTTTTAGTGACAGTGAGAGCGCGTGTGGCAGTTGTCATCATGTCCGTGCGGTTTTTCCAAACGTTTATGCCCTACTCTTTGACGTTTCCGCCTGGTGGTTCTCACTGGGGGGTCGGGGTGGGCTCAGGGGGTGGCATGGGGCTCTGTGTTTACTTGACTAGGTGTAGTGACGTTTACGGTGATGGGAGGACTGGTTGCACGGCTAACTTCAAGTGTTGCAAGCCGTGACTGTGACCGACCGGGAGACGTGGATTTGGGTGGTGCGTTCGTATCCTCAGTTGCTTTCTTTGCCACGCTTTGGCGTCTCACAGCTCCAGCCCTAGTAACTACTGAGAATGAGGTGGTCAGTAACTGTGGCCAGATCGTATTCAAAGCATTTCTGCCGCTTGCCTTTTTCGGGGTCAGCGCACTTTT